GAAGCGGAGTCCAGCCCGGGGTCGTCACATGTGGTTGTTTACTATGTAAATTGTTATATAAAATCTTACTTAAATTAGAAAAATATAAAATAGATATGAGTGAAACTAAAACTGTAAATTGTTGTGAATGTAAACGCTACTGAAGTAGAGATTTCTTGCTAATTTTAAGAAATGTTAAGAAAAAATTAAGAAAATATGTATTGCAATTGAAATCTACAGATGCAAATAGATAAAGTATCATAAAATGCACACTTAAATGTGTATTTTGGATGTTCTGTTTCAACTAATCTGTAAGAAGACGTTATTGAAGCAAAATAGTCCAAAATCTGAAAAGTTAGGATTTGACAAGTGCATGGAAAAACAAAGGTTTTTGGGATTGGAAAGACTTTTGGGTCATCTTTAAGGTACTTTGTCTTTTTAAAGCTTGAAGCTTGCTTTCGTTTGAAACTTGCTTTCACTACATGGAATAGAGCAGCTTGAACATTCTTCTAAATTTCTAATTTAGTTTTTCTCAGAAAAAAAAAGTAAGCCATACAGTTTTAGTAATGTCATAATAGTCATGAGATATTTTTGGGTAAACTATTCCTTTAGCATAGCTAGGAAGTGTGAACATACCTCTATAGTTGAGATGCTAATCGTATACGAGTTGTAACAAGGCTCAGTACAAAAAGAACACAGTTTTAGTGGCTACGCAGAAAGAATCACTCATGACAAATGCCACTAGCGAAAGACTATAATGGAAAGAGAGATGAATGATGAATAGTGCTGAGATCTCCTCTTTATGATCCACAGCTCGTCCCTCTGAGCAGAAAATCAGTTTGACGTAACACACACGTCTCCTAAAGGAGCCACACTGTGACATTTCTCGAGATGTCTTTTGAGCAGCGGCGTCTCCTGAATATTAGGAAAGCCTATTTGGAGCTAAGGTTTATGGGAAATAAGCAGTGAGCAACAGAGTGGCCTTTCTCTTCTTCTCGAGCTGCGGTGTCCAAGAATCATTCTGTTTGCTCTGCGGTTTTAGCTTCACTCGCACACAAACACATACACACGAGGACAAAGAGATGTTTCTGAGCCCCGTTCCCTTTACTATTCATAGCAGACACATAGTGGCTTCAGGATTTACAGTGGGTACGGAAAGTATTCAGACCCCCTTAAATTTTTCACTCTTTGTTATACTTTCAAACACTGTTGATGTTGTTTAAATGTCGGCTATTCGGATGATAATTTTGATGTCTGGGCATGCTGAGAGGAAGGGCTGGACTACAAAAAAACAAAAAAAAACAAAAATTCTAGTCAGTATTTTGGCTTTGTTTCTCAAAGAAATATCTAAACATCCTGTAGACAAGATAAATTGCTCACTTTAAAAGCAAACTATTTTTATACCTCATTGGAAAATTGTTTTGACCTTGTTTTAAGCATAAACCTCTCTAAATTTGGTTAGATTTCTGCTTAAACCAAGGGGAAAAAAGAGGTAAGAAAAATAAGTGTCATGCATTTCAATATATTTATTAGTGCTGTCAAACGATTAATTGTGATTAATCGCATTCCAAAATAAAAGTTTTTGTTTGCATAATATATGTGTGTGTTCTGTGTATATTTATTATGTATATATAAATAAACACACATGGAGTATATATTTTGAAAATATTTACATGTATTTACATGTCTATATTTAAATTCATATAATTTATATTATAAATAAATATATTTAATATATAAA